CAGACCACGCGGGCAGCGGACAGGGAGACGGGGAGCAAAGCAGAGCAAAGCCACGGAGCCCTAGGGCAGCGGGACAGCCACGGCGCATCTGGGCTGTCCCGCTGCCTGCGTGCTCTGCGGCTTTGCTCCACGTCTCCCTGGTCTGCTGGTCTCCAGCAGACCAGGGAGATGAGGAGCAAACCCCGTTCGTAACTTCGGATCTGACATTAGTCGGATCCGCGTAACTCAGGGACTGCCTGTAGTGCGTGGACGCAATTATGCAAATGAAGCATGGGAAATTCAAGTTCGCACTTCATTTGCAATTTTGCTCAGCTGCATTTGCATTCTCTCTCAAAAGAGGAATGCAGTGTAGATATACCCACACTCTACATTACATCTTTAGAAAATACCGGACATTTATATTTTCTCAATTTGTTTCCCGAACAGAAAGCTGAAAACCAGACACCTGTCAACCCTACCTGTGGTCCAAGTTCCATTGAGAACAATGGTAGCTGCCAGACACTTCGAAAGAGAGAGCAGTTCTTCATTAACTTATCAGAAGGACCATATTATTCTTCAGCCTCTACTGAAGAAGAATTTTATGTATGAACAACAACGAGGAAAATTACCTTCCATGCTAAAATTTTTAGGTAAAAAAATCGACTCATTGCATTAGGTTTACTCAAGGATCAACTCTGCCAATTTTTGAGTGAATAGATAATGCCTGAGCTAAGATCATGTTGGAGGAGGGCAGGGTATTTACACTACTTGCTAAATTTTTAAAGGATTTGTTTTAAAATTGGTTTTAATTTATACATTAACAATTTACTTATAAATTATCAAAAATCCACTCAACATTCAAGAAATATATGCTATAATTTTGAGGATACCACGAAGGACATTATTCTTTCCTTAATGGCGTGGCTACTGAAGTGGAGAATATGTTTATAAAATTTGCAAATGATGCCATGCTGAAAGTAGTTGTAAGCTCCGGATATCACCGGAATAACTGACTGAATGGTAGCATTGCAGGAAAGGGTATGGGGTTATACTGGATTACACATTGAATATGAGCCAATAATGTGATGCAGTTGTGGAAAAGGCTAATACCATTCTGGGAGTATTAACAGGAGTGTCATATGTATGACATCAGAGGTAATTGTTCTGCTGTACTTGGCACTGATGAGAAATCAACTGGAAAACTGTATCCAGCCTTGGGCACCACATTTTAAGAAAGATGTGGACAAAACAGATCCGGAGGATCTCTTATTCCTACTTTGAATAATTCCTTTGAAGTAGGAATAAGAGATCCTCCAGAATAGGGCTTTATTCCGGAGGATCGGGCCAGTCTAGACGCTTTTTTCCGGCTTTTCCCAAAGCCGGAAAAAAAGCGGTGACCATGTTTATTTAAATCCCGCGGGGGATATTTAAATCCCCCGCAGATTTCCCTATTCCCACTTTCAAAATTAGCATGCCCCTTCTGAAGAAGGGGCCAGTGTAGACGTAGCAGATGGGTTTATGAAGGGGATGGTTTGATGAGATAACATGATCTTGGTAACTAAGGGTATGTCTACACTACCCCGCTAGTTCGAACTAGCGGGGTAATGTAGGCATACCGCACTTGCAAATGAAGCCCGGGATTTGAATTTCCTGGGCTTCATTTGCATAAACGGGGC